AATTGACTCACTCCATCTCATGTAATGAATGAGGTAGAAGACTTCTGAGGGAAAAAAAGTAGTATGTGATCATGTAATTAAACACTTTATCACAATGCATAAAAACAAAGTGTCTAAATTAAGATTGCACTGGCAACAATACTTCCAAAACCTCCTAGCTTTTAAGGGCTTGGCTTTGCAGCCTTAATGTTCTTTTACCAAATTGACTCACTCCATCTCATGTAATGAATGAGGTAGAAGACTTCTGAGGGAAAAAAAGTAGTATGTGATCATGTAATTAAACACTTTATCACAATGCATAAAAACAAAGTGTCTAAATTAAGATTGCACTGGCAACAATACTTCCAAAACCTCCTAGCTTTTAAGGGCTTGGCTTTGCAGCCTTAATGTTCTTTTACCACAGGTTGTTTTGTGTGTGTATGTGTAATTGTCTAAAGTTTTTCTTTAAAGTTTAAAAAACATTATCCTGTAAAACAACTGAACCTGCTCTCCCTCTCCACATGATTCACCAGTAGGACTGGGATCTTGAGGCTGTATCTACACTATCAGATTATTTCAAAATAAGTTATTTTGAAATAATAACTCCTGAAGTAACTATTTCAAAATAAGCTTTTCCTCTTCACAAGCAGAGAGTTGTTATTTCGAAATAATAGGCTTGGCAGTGTGAAGGCTCACCCTTGTTATTTCGAAATAACTCCCCAGTGTAGACATGCCCTTAGATACTTAGCACAGACCTCTATCAGTTGAGCTAAAAAATAACAGTAGAAAGCTGTTATTTTCTATGTGTATCTGCCACAGAGGACGGGGAGGCAGGAAAGGGAGAGAGACAGACATACTGTCTCTCACACATACACAATGATTTTCACAGCTACTGAGAAAAGCAGTGTTGAAACTCAGGAATAATAGGCTCAGTTCCAAGTTCTGTAGGGGATTGTGCTCTTTTGGTTACAGACCCTCTGCTCCTGTGCTCCAAAGTCTCTCCTGCTCCTATTCCCTCCTCCATAACTCCTACCTCTGTACTTTCCCCTGTTGCTACCTCCATGACTCCAGCTCATCTCCCCTGCCTTACTCTTGACTTGTTCACAATCTTGCTCCTGCTATTGTCCCGTATCTCCCCCTTCCTCAGCTCCAGCCCATATTCCCCCACTTACAGTGCTCTTCCATGGTTCTTCCTCTCCCTCACTTTTGTCTTCTGTTCCTCTCTTCTCTTGCACTTCTCCCCCTGCCTCTGCTCTTGCCTTGTATCCACTGATCCTGCCCATGTTTTCTCCCACTTCTAACTTCTTCCCTCTCCCTTTCCCCTCCCATCCTGGCTCCTATATCTGTTCCAAACTTTATCCCTTTCACCATTCCCATTATTCCATCTTCTGCCCTTCTCCCCACTCCTGTTTTTAACCCTTCTACCCTATCGGATTCCTATCCCTCTAACCCCTGAGCTTCTGTTCCCTCCCCATTTCCTCCCCACCCAGAATCTTTTCTCCCTTTTCCTTAACCCTCAACCATCAAATCAGGCAGATTCCTCCTTTGCCTCTATGCTGCCTGGGTGCCAGAAGGGGGAGCTCTGAGGGCCCAAGAGGGGAAGAACAGTCTCCTGGCTCTCAATTCTTGTGGTCTACAACAGCAGCAGCTGTTGGGAAAATCATGCTCAGATCGGGCAGCCAGAGGCAGAGTCACTCTGTGGGGACAGTGTACAGTTCCAGCTGTGAGAGGAAGTAGCATTGTCAATGCAGGTGGAATCCTGGAATAATTTAGCTGCCTAACTCTGCATATCTGTATTGAGCGACTGCAAATTGAGATTTTTTTCAGGGGGTTACAATTTGGCCAAATGTGGGTGTGTTTTCAAGGATATTTCATAAGACACATTCCTGGCAGTAGGGAGACCCGCCTACTAAATTTCAAGCTTATGCTCCAAAGCATGGAGAACTCTAGAACTTTGATAAAATAGTAATAAGTTAAAAAAAAATCATGAGCAAAACATATTCTGAAAAACTGCTGACCCATATTAGCTCAAACGTTAAAAAACAAACTAACTAAAATAACCACAATTTGAGGCACACACCTCATATTGAACATTTCAGCCTGAATAGTCAGTGTGGCAAACAGAAAACAGGTTCTTATCATAGAAAGTATTAGACAATCTTAGCATTGCCCTCTTCACCAGCTGCAGTAACTTAATAACACAACAACAAATGGAATTCTCTTGACATTTAAAGCTAAATAGTGGATTAGAAAATTGTTTGTTAGGAAGTGGGTAACATTTCCTGATTGGGAAGAAATACCCATCAAAAACTGCTCCCCACTAAAGAAAAGCACTTGCATCAGAAGCCACATCCCTGGACCAGGACTGGGAACAGGTTGGAGATGCAGTTTCTCCTGGATGACAGTGAAATCCTTCAGAAATTGTGTGTTTACCTTGTAATTTCTGAGAAAATGCTCTCTCAGTTGTCAGAAATTCCATGTCCTAGGAGTATGAGAACAGTTTGTATTTTTTGAAGGGGAGAAGAAAAAAAAACAGGCCTGTAATATGAAAATTTGCAGGTGAGTTCAAAATCTGACTGTGATGCAAAATATTTGACAAATCATGGCCTAGAAAGAAGGATTTGAAAACCATGTGAAATCGCAAGGATTCAGTCTCTCAAAATGCTGCATTTGTTCAGAAAATCTGCATAATTAAATCAAAACAGTTAAGTCCCAAGCAGATTGCGAAAAGCTGCAAAAGGATCTCAGAAAACAGCAGATGAAATTCAATGTCGATAAATGCAAAATAACGCACCTTGGAAAACATAATGCCAGCTACACGTATAAAATGATGGGGTCTAAATTAGCTGTTACCACTCGAAAAAGATCTTAGAATCACTGTGAATAGTTCTCTAAAAACATCCAACCAATGTGTGGCAACAGTCAAAAAAGCAAACCAAATGTTGGGAATAATTTAAAAAATGATAGAGAATAATAAGACATAAAATATATTGCCTCTGTATAAATCCATGGTATGCCCACATCTTGAATATTGTGTGCAGATGTGGTAGCCCTATCTCAAAAGATGTATTGGAATTGTAAAAGGTTCAGAAAAAGGGCAACAAAAATTATTATCGGTATGGAATTGCTTCCATATAAAGAGAGATTAATAAAACTGGAACTCTTCAACTTGGAAAAGAGATAACTAAAGGGGGATAGGATTGAAGTCTATAAAATCATTACAAATCTAGAGAAAATAGATAAGGAAATGTTTTTTACTCCTCATAACACAAGAACTAGGGGGTCACGAAATGACATGAATAGGCAACAGGTTAAAAACAAAAGAGTATTTTTTTGCCCACCAAGCACTGTCAACCTGTGGAATTCCTTTCCAGAGGATGTTGGGACGGTCAAGACTATAACAAGGTTTAAAAAAAAGAGCTGGATAAATTCATGGAGGATGGGTCCATCAATGACTATTAACCAGGATGGACGGGGAGGGTGTCCCTAGCCTCTGTTTGCCAGAGGCTGGGAATGGGTGACAGGGGTTGGATCACTTGATGATTCCTGTTCTGTTTAATCCCTCTCCGACACCCAGCTCTGACTATTGTCAGAAGACTGGGCTAGATGAACTTTGGTCTGATCCCGTATGCTCATTCTTATAAGAAAGCAAACGGGATGTGAACATTATGTGTTAACATTATGTACTTCTGTATTCCTCTTTTAACAGTGATTAGTGCAAGGTTAACTACATGTATAATCTGTGGCAAGGAGAACTGGGAGACGGCTAAGAGATAGCCATAATGTCTTTAAGCTGCCAGACAATTTCTACTCGACTTGGCGTTCTTACACTGAACTGCAAAGGACTACTATGTCTTTTGGTCTTTACACTAAGTGTAAGTGGCAGTGCCTCTGGCTTGTGTCCTACAGCCTGCATCTGTGCTAGTGACATCATAAGCTGCACCAATAAGAACCTCTCTCGAGTGCCAGGAACTCTCTTCAAATTCATAAAAAGACTGGATCTGAGTTATAACAAAATTGGATTTTTGGAACCTGAATGGGTCCCAGTGCTTTTTGACAAACTGAACACTTTAATAATCAGTCATAATAGTATTAGCAGTATTATCACTGGAAGCTTTTCCACAACTCCAAATCTGAAGTACCTAGACTTGTCATCCAACAACCTGAAGACACTGGGAAGCCCTTTGTTTCAAGAGTTAAGAGTACTGGAAGTTCTCTTGCTTTACAACAATCAGATAACACAGATTGATTCTGCTGCCTTTGGAGGATTATACAAATTGCAGAAGCTGTATTTATGTTGTAACTCACTGTCACACTTCCCAATGGACTTGTATATTGGAAAACACAAGCTTACAGAACTTGTATTGTTAGACATTTCCTATAACCACATCCAGTCTGTACCCATTCAACGTGTAAGTTTAGTGCCAGCCAAACAACTCAGTGGAATTTATCTTCATGGTAACCCATTTTACTGTGACTGTACTCTATACTCCATGCTAATTTTTTGGTATCACAGACACTTCAACTCAGTCGTGGATTTCAAAAATGAGTATGCCTGTGCATTACGATCTGATCCCAAAGGTTCCAATAAACTGCCTTTATTGCACGACAACTTTTTGAATTGCTCCGAAAGCACCATCAATGTGTCATTCCATGCCTTTGGGTTCATTTATGAGGCCCAAGTCGGAGAAAGGCTGATTGTACACTGTGACAGCAAAATTAGTGATGCAGGCACATATTTCATTTGGGTTAGCCCAGACAATAGATTACTGGAGCCAGACAAGGAGACTGACAGTTTTAAGGTGTTTCACAATGGGAGTCTAGAGATAATAGATCCCCAGCTGGAGGATTCTGGGCTGTATTCATGCGTTGCAATAAATAAAAGAAGACTGTTAAATGAAACCATAGAGGTTAGAATTAATGTAAGCAATTTCACAGTGAACAGATCCCATGCTCATGAAGCATTTAACACTGCTTTCACCACCCTTGCTGCCTGTGTAGCCAGTATTATTTTGGTACTGCTTTATCTGTATCTAACCCCATGTCCTTGTCAGTGTAAGACAAGAAGAAGAAAAAGGAAGCTACCCCAAAGCAGTGCCCATTCGTCCATCCTAAACTCCACTCCACCTCTGGATCCTCCAACTGAAGAGAAGAAATCCAGCACTGGTAAGAGAGTGGTGTTCCTTGAGCCTGTGAATGAGCCAAAACAGGGACAGAATGGGAAAGTGAGACTGTTTTCCAAAGAGACTGTCATAGCAGAGAGCATCTTGAAAACAACTAGAGCAAAATCTGACTCTGATTCTGTCAACTCGGTGTTCTCAGATACACCTTTCATGCCATCATCTTAGTTTGCTGCTTGCTTGTCTGTTCTGAAGTGAAATCTCTCAACACCATACCTGCCTGTAGCAACTATCCGGAAAAAATAAAATATGGCAAAAAATGCATTATCAGTAGTCTTCAAGAACACGTTCTCTGCTCTTTCTGTGATAGGGAGAACATGCAACACTGGTGCACAGGTTAGCATCAAAGGGTAGGTTTTCACTGCAGAGTTAACCCAAGCTCTTATCTGGCTGTTGCCCCATCCTTCCTGTGGACTACACACAAAAAGCTGACACCTGAGTCTAGTGGTGCTGTCAGTTCAGGCTCACTGGCTTGTCTGTGACTGTAGGCTCAAGGCCAAGTGCTGTTTTCACTGAGGCTAGTAACCCACACACTCTGCAGTGAGGATTCAGGCTAAATCCCCACCAGAGTGCTAGTAGTCTATTAATATGATCTCATAATTCCCCTGGGTGCACAGGACAGGTATGTTCTGCCACAGTTCACTGGGAGAGAATCATAAGCCAGCTCAGCTTACTGCAGTACACAGAAGCATGGGATATGCCCACGGCCATCCTTGTGACATGCACCAGTGAGTGCAGCACCAGTAAGGAAACAGAGGGTACATCGAAAACCCTCCACGGCATCCCATCTCAGAGAGTCAGCTGACATAGGCTTGTACCATGGGGTTACAGAGTCAACACAGTATAGCTGCTCTCACTCAAGGGCCCTAAGGCCCTCTCCCTCTCCTTGGGTCTCAGAGCCCAGGCTCCAGCCCTAGCTGGAATGTCCACATTGCTATTTTTAGCCTCATTGCCTGAGCTACGCAAGCTCAAGTTAGTTGACCTAGGCTCTGAGAAAATCTGCAGTGCAGTTGTACCCCAGTAACTCAGGCAGGGCTTTGGAGGGTGACTGCTCACATCTGGGGTAGGCTAACCTCAGGACTCTAGCCTAGGCAGGTGTCATCTGAGTTAACGTTGCAGTGAAGACATACCCACAGTGTTAACATGAAGATGGGGGGCACTTTGCTGTGTGTTTTGTAGATAACAGCTCTGGGCAGAACATGTTTGCTGTAGATGATACTGTCTTTCCAGTCTGTTTGCTTATAAGAATCAGCATCTTAAACATATAGAGCTAGGTGTACATTTGAATACCAGGGAACATATCTAAAACAGCCCTTATCAAACTTCTTTCCCACCTCAAAGCATTCAGTATTTAGAGGTACACAATCCAGAATATTGCAGAGTGTATGTATTTCATCTTAATCACCTTGTACAGTAAATTTTTATGGACAGGCACAGAAAAATCTCGATTTCTTACCTTATAACACATTTAACTAAATCAGGGAGAGGGAAGCTAACCATCTCACTTTTCTTATAATTAAATCTGTGGGATTACTCATAAAAGTAAGGTGAGCAGATTTGCCCACTCATGTAATAATGCATGTTTGGAATCCTGCACTGGTTACTCAAGCAGTTCAATTCCCTTTGACAAAACTTCCATTGACATCAATGAGAGCAAGACTGGGCCCATTGTATAGCAGAGGGCCTCTCCCCCTCTAATTTTGAGATGCTTTTTGCTTTGTTCTTTCAAAGGCACAAAATGTTAGTGTTCTCATGAAATTTGCTTCTAAATATTGTCATTAGAGAATCAATTATAATGTTTGGGTCAAGAGACCAAACAATTAAGTGGTTGAACTTTGTTCCATTGACACTAATTTTAATAATAATTTACTACTTTTGTGGCTTCAATGGAATGGCACCTACTTACACCAGACTGAATTCTGGCCCATGAGAGACAAAAATATAACTAATTAGCTATGAAAAAATCAGGATGTATCTTAATTGCTTGACAGCCACCTATCTAGAAAGCAAATTAAATCATGGAACAGCATTGCTGTGATGTACACAATGTAGGAGGAAAATAGGAGGATTTGGAAAGCTGTTTGGAGTTGTTAGAATGATTTTGGTTTCATGTATTTAAGGAAGCAAACAGACACATGATGATTTAAAAATTCTTTTGTAGAGATTGAATAATGAGTATGTAAGTATGAAAGATCTACAGTTTTTTACTTTGAACAGCATTAATTAAACAACTGTTCATATCTAAGATATACAACTTTTACAGTTCTTTCCATACATCTATCTGTATTTTTTAATACTTTATACAATTGAAAACAAAATCAGTAGCACTACATATAGATCTTGTAGTAAATAATTATGGGACCAGTGTTGTTTTCAATGAAGTTAATGGAAGTTTTGTCATTGACCTTTATAAGATGAAGATGTGACCCTTTAAGAAGCTGTCTCTTGAGGATTTTTTTGATTTGAAAGAAGATTGAAATGAGCCACATGATTTCCCCATGATGTGCCATATGTGCATGGACATATGTACTGTAAAAGAAGGAGCACAGTGACAAACAGAGGACTGAATACAAAATAGTAAGACAGAAAGTGAAAGGCAAAAGCCAGAGGGAAAAAGTGTCTGATTTGTATGTATTTGGCCTATTGTTAACTGAATATCACTAGAAAAGGCTGTTCTTATTGGATATGTTGTTGCACAAACAAATTATACCTTTAGAGTATCACATTCATTTATTTAGGTTACTAACATAGGAGTATATTTCTGTTTTCATAAAAGTGCTAATCCAGTCAAATCCAAGATAGATTGAAAAGGAAAACAAATTGCTACTGCCATCCATCCAATATCATCCTTACATTGAATATTATAAACAATGTTTTACTGTTTATGCTCACTTGCCCATTTGTGACACAAGACCTGCTGTTATACAATGTCAAATTAACTATATGTAACTTAAAGCCATGTTCTAGTAAACGGGAAACTGACTCTGCACCTTAGTCCCGGAGGGCTTATATCCCACTGGAGACCATAAGAATTTGCAGCGTCAGACGCAAACCATCAACCTGCTGCAGTAGAGAGTGAATGTAGTCTCAGTATCAGATGTTTGTTATAAGTGTTAATTGTTTATATATTAGTTTAAATGCTTTAAAATGCTCAGATGTGTGATTATACATCTAAAGAACAGGGATTAAGAAGCTTTTGTAACAGTATAGCAATATTAACGTTTGTGGAAATAAGAGGTCTCACCCAATCTCACACCTTTGGAGTCAGTTAAATGTTGCGGCTTTAATGGGAAGAACATTTTTAGAGAAATGTTAGCACTTTGATTTACTTTAATATTTACAGCACCACACTAGCAAACCCAGCCTATATTGTTGCTCCAATTCTCACTCAACACAATGAGCCACCTTTCATCTGAGGGGCCCAATGTGCAGTGAAGTTATGACCATCTTGCATAAACAAGGAAAGTTTATCTTCTTATGTATACAAGTAGGTCCCAACAAAGGGTCTCTGGAGATAACCACATGTCCTGATGGAGGAGTTAGGGTTGTACTATACTAACTCCATGCTACAATCAAATGATGAAAACGTTCCAAGGTTGCCCAGTTGATTCCATGACCGAAATGTCCATTAAATTCAATTTATCTTTTTCTAATACTGTACTAATATCACCCAACACTAATAAAGACATCAGTTATGCCTTTGATGCACCATGGGCGCCGTGCTACAGAGCATTCAGCATTCTGGCCCCATTCCAACAAAATGTGTACTTCTGGTTTGCAGTAAAGGAAAGAGAGAGAGAGACCATCCCACGGCACAGTCACCAGTCAGTGCATCACCTTTTGAAAGAGAACAGCATGAACCACTCCCACACAGACCACATGCACCCAAATGAGTCTACCATTGTCTCAGACCTTAGCAACAGCATTAGAATCCTGCCCTTTGTGCTCCCCTCTCCCCCTGGACGGTGGGCCTGGGCCAAGGTTGAGGGAAAGGCTTGTTTGTGCCCTCCCCCACAATATGAACAGCGTAACAAGGCTTAGTCTAATCAAACCTTGAGCATATTACTAACAATAAGTATATCTAGTTATTTCCCACCTCATAGCTAGTCACAGCCTAGTTAACAAAGGCCCTAACCCAGCCAAACTGAACTAATATGTTTATGTGCTTTACTGAATCAGGACCTCAGTCTTTTTTTAGGTTCTCATGCTACATCCACCACCGATCATCTTAGCACTTAGCCTTCCTCCAGCCTCCCAAAACACAAACAAACATCCAACGTAGGGAGAAAAAATCCACGTGGCTTCAATTTTCTGACACTAACTGAGCAGGTTGATGAAAACATGGCAAACGTCCCTCCCCTTAACCCCAGTCCTGCACATCCTAATTAGACTGCAGTAGAATAGGGAAACATCTATTGAACAACGGCCACTGGAGTATGGATTCTTTTAATAATTGCATTGTGAAGACTCCTAATGATAGCATCACTGTACTGGAATCCATTCAGGCTCTCCTTGGATGAAAATGGATTTAAGGCTAAATCATGGCATCACTGCAATTTTTCACTGAGGCCAGTATAAACATACTGCCCACCCAGTACATTCTGGGGAAGGCAGAGAAGCAGCATGACTGCTCTGTTGCCCTTTAAGGGGGGTGCAGAATGCATGCGCCTATGTGACGAGCTAAAACTACTGGCCCCTTCTACACTCCTCTTGCACATCTCAGTAAAGTGAAATGGCTGCAGTTGTAGCTATTTCTTTACCAATTGTCTGGGAGATCTAGGTTGACCCTACTGATGGTAGAAAGTTATACTGTTGCCAGAAGAATGTAAAAGAGGAGGGTGGGACACTTAATTACTGTCTTAAATTTTAAAACACTTGATATTTTCCAAGCTGCTAGAAATGGTAAAAGCTAGCATTAATCGACGTCAGTTTCTAAGCAGGAAAACATACACTTCATTTATGGTTGAACAGTTTTGACCACATAGAACTTTGTTCACTTTGCTGGTGACAAATGATTGGATCATTTAAAAATAAATATAGCGAAAGGGATTCTCTCTGTATTCCTTCTGTGTTGGTGTATGATTATCAATTCATTTGTATTAGCTGATTGATTGACTTTTTTCCCTTCCACATTCCTAATGTGAATATCTTTGGAAGGTTGGACTGGCATGAAGGTATAAAAATGGTCCACCACAAAAATGGAATATAAACAATTCAAAGATTGGTTTCTTGAAATGTGAAATTAAATAACATTCTGAAGTTTCTGGAAAGGTCTTATATTGTAAGCAAGAAGATTATATTTTCCTGTCTGTAATAGCTCTAATAACAAGTTATGATAACTGTAAATTCCTGTATTATATTTTCATGGGTGTGATATATATTTTTTTCTGTACAAACTTCTTAATTTTTGTATTTCTTTGTAGAGTAACTTACATTGACAGGAAATAAATATTTTCCCATTTAATCTTCCTTTTGGTCTTTACCTTTTAGTGGGTAAGACTCATACAGTCAGTTTAACTGTATGCAGCAAGGTTATCTTTGAAGCAGCAAAAATTGGTTGCTGACTGAGAACTTAAATCTATATACAAATTTATACCTTTTTACCTAAACTGGTACAAACCTCTGAGTAGACACTTCTTATGGTTTCAGAGTAGTTACATCAGTTTAACTTAAACATCTTTCTTTTTGATTTAAGCTGTTTTTAAAAAATTACATAATTGTTCACACATGTTTTTGCATTGAATTGACTAAATCAGTTTAAAATTACTTTTTAATTTAAACTGTGGCAACTTTTTGTGTAGATGCACTCTGAGAGTGCATCTACACAGCACCCTTAGCTCAAAATAAGCTACACAAATTGCATAGCTTATTCCAGTGCTATTTCAAAATAGCTTATTTCGTAATTTGGCACCGTCTACACAGCACCCAATTTCAAAATAACTTCCTATTCTGAAATTCCCCTTAGCTATCGGAATGTTGGAATAAGCCACCTGTTATTTCAAACTCTATTTTGAAATAATGGGCTGCTTCAATAGATACGGAATAGCTATTTTGGTATAGTTCCGGTATCCTGAAATAGCTCCGCGGTGTAGACATATCCTAAGATACTATGTTTTCCAGCAGACAAACTCAGCAGTTAGAGAACTAGAGCTACAGTATATTATTTAGGCCATGTCTAGATTAGGAACAAAGGTGCTTTTTTTTTTTTTGTTGTTCCAATCAAGTTAATCAAGCCAGGTTAACTTGATTGAAAACTCAGTGTGGACAATCATTGACTTCAGTGGAGTTACTCCAGATTGGATTTGCATGTGTGTGTGTGTACACACACATGTGCATGCCTGCATAGACGTAGCAAAAGAGAGGGGGAACAGGACAGTGAGGGAAAAGACAGTTGTCTCCATCCATAAAAGCTGGTTAAGAGCAGAATCTTACAGTATTCCTGTTTCAAGGCTAATGGCCAATGTTCTAAATCTCTGGAAGACAAATGGGAACAGACAAATCCTCAGCAAAAATAAATAAAATAACTTTCACAGACATTATTCATTCACAATTAGGACTAATTTTCACCAATCTTAGGATTTGTGCCCTTAATGCAGAATGGAATCTTCAGCAATATACCCTACAACTTTCAGCAAACAAAACATCTTTTCACAGAGGCTGAAATGTTTTTAGCACTTCCCCTGATAATCGAGGCTGTGCAGGTAATAATATACCATGCAGTAAAATAAATCAAACAAACTCTACTGTTGCCTGGAGCACCTCAATTACCCATTTACACTTGCAGCTAAAGTGTTTGCAGTGCTAGGTGCACTCTCAGGCCTGACTTCAGAAGACCTTTGTGCTCTTTGTTTTTCTGTACTGACAGTAGAATCTCTCAAATCTGTTTTTGTATACTGAAGATTTCAGAACAAAAACATTTTTCAGCCTGTGATTACTTACCCAATAATTACCTAAATCCTTGGTGGAAAGGGATTGCTGTGCTACTTCGTCCTTAACTTTATTGCCAGAATTAAGGTGTTTCATATTTTAGTCAATGGGGATAGTATTTCCACACTTTATTGTGGAACATTACTATAGTATTCAAATTCCCCAACCAAGATCTGGGACCTATGGCATTAGATGCTTTTCAAAGACACAGATAGGCTTGGGACTATAATTCAACTAGTATAAATTCATTTAGTTTCACTGATTTCTATAATAACTTTAATACAAGTTTAGAAGTACAGTGAGTGCAGTTAGCTACAAAATTTGTATCTACATCTGAATCCACAAAAATGAGCCATGGATATCCGTACTGACATCTTTAGTTGTGAACACCCATGAATATAAAGCATATATCCACAAATTTTCATGGTTCTACACACAAAAATAGTTTCTGCATTCACATCCATTGAATGCAGATATCTGCAGATATAAAGCAGATATCTGTGGATTTGCAGGGCTCTACAGTTAGCCCACTAATCAGTAGAGACTTATCAGTTCTACTGGCCTCCATTTTAAGAGTAGTAGAGAGAACACAGGTCAACTTCTCTGTTGAGCTATTACCAGTGAAGCTACACCAATATAATAATCCTAGATCTAAAACCAGTAGAACTTTCCAAAGAGAAGTTTGACTATTGTAATAGTCATTCATTCTTAATGTTATATGGAAAAAACAAAGAAATCTGTTCTTTGTATTTTTTAAAGTGTAATGAAGCATATCTTAATTATTGCCTGAAATCCCTTCTGGCCGTATTTTCATTAAACTAATATTTCTGCAGGGGGGAAACTGATATTTGTAATCGCAACCCAAAATTTGCTTTGCTTATCAAAGTTTAGGTAAAAGAATCTTCCATTTTCCCCCTCCACTTCCTTTTTGAGTGTGCTGTGGCAGAGAAGGGATATGTGATTTAACTGGAATTGTTATATGCATATGTTTTCATTTGTTCCCCCCTTCCTCTTTCCCCTGTTTATTTTCATCATGGATAAAAGACTTTGTACTGTTTCAGGGAAATGTTCATGTTTCATTCAACCCTATCTACAATCCATGTGTTATACAAAGATAAGCTGATTTGCTTAGCTTGCTATAGTACTGTTGCTCCACAATTTGTTTGTGCATTCTGTGGCTGCCTTTGTGACAGTAATCTTCCCAAAAGAGTTTCCTCCCCACAGAAAAAAGAAAGCCAAATATTTATTTATGGTCCGATAGCTCACGGGATGATTGCATGATATTAGAAAATATCCTTGTCCTTTAATATTTATACGTAATCACAATTCTGCAGATGGCTTGACCTTTCAGTTTGACCGACTTCAAATTGGTTGAGAAAAAAGCCCATACCTCCCTAAGCTAAAGCAACTGCTTACTAGAAAATCACAGAGATTTCCCCTAACCTCAGAGGGCCTATCATAATTATTGACCATGCTCAGGACCATGAGCTTGACCATGTAGATTTGTCATGCCTTTTTTTTTTTTTTTTTTGGCAACCAGAAAATTACAGTCACAGTAGATTTAATAAAAGTCACAGATTTAGGATAAACATGGGTTGTAAAGTCATATTTAAAGTAGGGGCACCACAGGGGCAGGGGTGCTGGAACAATTTGCATGGGGAAGTGCTGACAGCCATTGAACCAAACTTTAAACCCTGTATATAATGGAAACAACTTCAAGCCAGGAGAGGGGGCAGCACCCCTATTTCCAGCCCCTATGCACAGAGGTTGGGTCCTGCCACGAGGCGTTGGGAGTCCTGGCATGTGGAGGAGTGAGGAGCTGAAGAGCAAGCGTGTCCCACACTCATCCCACAGGTTGTGGTGGCTCCCCTCTCATGGGGCTTGGCCTGGTTCCTTCCTCTGGACATTGCAACATGGCACACAGGGGCACAGCACCACCCAGCTGGTTTAGCCCAGCTGCCCCTATGATGGGTGCATGGCTGGCCCACTTTGAGTGGGTGCTGCCTCTCCATCAATGAGGTCTCAATACCACTCAGTCAGATTTGGCCCAGCTACCCCAGCTCTTTCCCACTTTGTGAGAGAGGAGTAGCTGAGCCAAACCTGAATGGCACTGTGACCCTATGCACCAGGTTGCACTGCCCTGAGCAGGGAGATGGCATAGGAGCTGCCACTGTATGGTGAGCCTAGTGGAATCATAGACATAAAGAAGTCATGGGCAAACAAAAAGTCACAGCATCCGTGACATTTTTATTACTGTGACAATCCTGCAGTCCTTTTCAGGGCTCTGGAAATGGCACCTGTCTTGAGAAATTGTACTGGTGTATAAAATGTATTCTACATGAATTTTTATAGTAGGTATTAACTTATTTGGGGGGTTACTACTGTGCATTGCAAACTCAGGAATGATCCTTTTTCCTGTCTGTAAAATGGAGATAATGATGCTTACTTCATTTTAAAAGGGCTTTGAGATCTACCGATGAAAAGCATGATATAAAAAGGAGGTATTGTTAGGACTGAATATTCTTGTTTATTTTGGTCTGGCCCAGCTATCTGATATTTTATAATTGTTTCATAAAAATAAAAATAATAATTGAAAGAAGGCTTTGAAACAATCATCCTCACTTTAACTATACCTAAGAAACCAAAGGATAATTCTTAAAAGTCTACCCTGTAATTACTGTGATTTACATTATCACAAAACATAAAAGCAAATTTCTCTCATAAGTATGTACTGTACAATAATAGCGAATTAGGCCAAGCAATACCAAATTACAGTGTGTGATCTGTGAAATTACAGGCCATTTCCAGAGCTTTTATTCAGGCATAACTCTTGTGAAATCAGCATTATGCTTATATATGAGAATCACAGTCTGTATTAATGAGTATAATTTACCCAGAGTATATACCTGTATTGTGTCAGGTACATTTAATTATGCAGACTATCCCCCCTCCTTTTTTAATAGCAAAACAGACTGGGAGACCAGGTTCTGAAGGAAGTGTGACACCTAAAGCTCAGAGTGGTTGCTTATCTTCACAACAGTGAAAAACTCAAATCTACAGAGGACAGATTAATAGATTATAGGCCATTTGGGACCACTGCAATCTTGTAGTTTGACCTCCTGCATAATACAGGCCATAGGACTTCCCTGCATTAATTTCTGACTGAATTAAAGCATATGTTTTAGAAGAACATCCAATCTTGATTGTAAAATAGCCAGTAATAGAGAATCTACCATAGCCCTTGGTAAATTGTTCCAGTAGTTCATTACCTTCACTGTTAAAAAATTGCACCTTATTTCCAGTCTGAATTTGCCTAGTTACAAACTCTAGGCAGTGGATCTTATCTCCGACTGCCTGATAGACAGCTCATTAGCAAAATTTTGTTTCCCATGTACAGACTTACATACTGGCCGAAGACATCCCTTAACCTTCCTTTTAGTTTAAATAGATTGAGCTCTTGGAGTCTGTCACATAAGGCATGTTTTCCAATCCTTCAATCATTCTCAGGGCTCTTCTCTGAACCTCCTCCTCCAGTTT